AGCCTACACTAGGGAAAGCGTCCCGGGACGCCTCCGACACCCGAGCTTGGCACACAACTCGCATACTCTAATTTTACGTACCATTTTCCTGAAATCGACTGACGAGTGCCTAGTGACCTTTGCGTATTATGCAGATAGATAAGCGTATATCTTTAATTTTAAGAAAAAAATTTATGTATTAACGAAAGAATAAAATAATTTTGGAACGATTAAATTATCGAAAAATTTGATGATATTGTTGATAATTTAAAAAATAAGAATTGTAATATTGCATATAAATCGTATTATGTCGAACGACGCAATTCCACAGCCTAACGATACGCACACAATGTGGAAAATACGTCGTGCACGATACACTAACTCATCGTCAGTCGCTAAAAAATTATTATAAACTTATAAACTAAGATCATCATGCCCATCGCCTTTCTCTCACTCAAGTAACACCTGGGCACGTGAGTGAGATCCTGACAATGAACACGGAAAGGATTAAACCTGAAAATCCTGAGCTAAAAAGATAAATTAATATAAATGTTTTGTGTTTAACGGGCTAATGAACATTCTATATTCTCATCTTATCTGAAGCTCTTTGTACTTTATACTTTATGTATGTAGTAAATTATTTAAATTTTTAATCTTTTATAAAAACAATTAAATGGAACATATCTATCAAAAAAATTAAAATTAAAATAATTGACTCAAATTTAAATTTTAATATGAATGAAAATATCCTCAGGTGATTCCTTCATCAAAGCATATTTTTTAAAATATGAAAGAAATATTCAAAACTTGTAGCTTTGATTTCAAAATCTACCTGTCGCGAAGTGTCTTCTTGTATATAAAATTTAATATAGTTTTGAACGAAAGGAAAATTATTAATTTTTATTATCATTTTAGACACAATATTTAGATATTTTACATTTACAAATATTTATAACGAATAAAATGTTACAATGATTTAACTTTACATAATTAATTTTGAAAATTACTAATATTTAAAAGCGCGATGTACAAGAAGACCTAGCCTGAACTAAAAAATAAATCATACAAAAAAAATGTTACTATTCATGAGTATGATAAATACCCATGGTCACTGTGCTCGTGCAAAATTCTATGTATACAACCAGTCACTCGTATCGATTTGAACCTTTCATTCTACGATATAATTGAGTAACCGGAGGAATCAAAATGCATGCGACTCACCATTAGATGTGATGATATTGTCGTCGATATTGATCCATGTAAACTCATCAAAGTCATCATCAAATAAGAAAATACTGTAATAAAAAATGAATCATTATAATTTAAAAGGAAATATATATAATGATTATTTAAATTGAAATAAAAAAAATAATTTACCTCTTCGCGTGATGGATGATTGCTTTATCCTTTTGAAACATTAACTTTAATATATATACAAAATAAATATTTAAATTAAAAAAAAAAAAATAAAAAAATATTGTCGAGACCATTTAAATTATAATCGGCGAACAAACACTGACTCTAATTTCACGAGTGATTATTATAATTACATTACAACAGCTATGTTCTAAAAAATACATAAAATACTATTACGAAGCAAACACTGACTCTATCAACCGCATTGCACGCGGTTACAAATATTTTCTGAAAATAAAAAGTAAGATAATAAAAGAAGAAGGAAAGTTAATATTTTTTTTCTTTTTTAATCAAGTGTTTGTTTGAGAAAGTATAGTTCATAAAAGTTACTTTTCATATAAAAATATATTAAAAATTGATTTAATCTGAAATAAAAAAAATAATTTAATAAAAATAGTTTAATTTTTAATAAGCGATTTGTTTAATTTCTTATATTTTCATTCTATTAATGTATTATGATAAATGATTATGAATTACTTAATGATAAATAAAAATAAAATATACTTATTCCTAATATAATGAAATAAACGTTACCATTCCATTATGAGGAATCACCATTAGACTGATTATGTCAAATATTCATTGCGGCAGCCATATTGAAATCCTTTTTTCCCGCCTTATTCCATCACTCAATTTACAGAAAAGACAATCTTTAAAACCTTGAAAAATAAATATATAAAATTAAAACTGATTGTATTAAATCAAAACCATAACTAAGCTCAAAATTTATTTTCAGATATAATAAATTCGAAATAATACAAACTATTTATAACTTTAACAATTATATAGGTTAAAAAAAAAAAGAATAAATTATTTCCCAAAAGATTATTATTTATAATAATATTTAATGAATAATTAAATGATCGTATAACAGTAATATAAAAAGTAAAAAAATAATTATTGAAATAATGTATTATATAATAATAAATTATTCACGTACCTGATCGAATCGTCGAGATGTCACAATTTTCAACCACAAAATGACAGCCTGCGCCTCGATCGCTATAATATTACAAATTGGGGAAGGGATATGCTCGGAGACAAGCCGAAATATGTCGAATATGACACGAACACAAACCGCCAAATTCCTCGAAAAGAAACATTTTCAAACTTGAGCAAAACATCAAAACAAATATAGAAATATAAGAAACGTTTGCAACTTTAAGCAAAATATAAAAATAAAAACATTGATACACGAATGTTAATATAATATACGTATTAAGAAATATGTAAAAAATATATGAAATATATATGAAATAAAATTAATTATAACAATTTGACTATTTTCATTTATGAATAAATAGGAATATAAGACAAATTTAGATATTAGTAATTTAGTAATTAGAATTTTTTAAATAAATAAAATCTTACCACACTTGTACGTCGTAAATATGTCTCTTTATATTGTATCATAACCTGTAGCTTAGAAAATCGATCATCAAACGATAATCTGCACAAATAGAAATCAAAATCATAAAAAAATGTATAGAATTAAAACAATATTAATATAATAATTGAAATCAAATCCAAAATTTATGATACAAACTACCGATAATAAATTATCGATATAAACTACCGATGTAACTATTAAATAGATGAAAATATATAAAATAATAAAAAAAGTGCAAAAAATTAATTAATTTTGTTATAATTAATGCTTAATAAAAGGTTAAACGAACTGTTATTAATTAAATAAAAATAAAACTTTATAAATCATACCTCGGATATTAATACGTAGAAATTCCACACACCGGTATGACACATCCTCACTCCACGACTTTTAGCAACAGACTGACGCCATCCACTCTGATTCGTTTAACCACTGGGCCTTAGAACGCATCTGATTGGCTGAAACTATATGCTTCCTCATCTTGAAACCGCGCGAAAATTGAAATATTGTATAATATAAATTATGAATCTATTGAAATAATATACCGATTAAAAGTATAATAAAAATAAATTATTAAAAATTAATTTAATATAAAAATTAAATTTACAAAAAATTAAAACATAATAAAGAAATTTAATAAATATATTTTTATAAATATAGATTTATATTTCTATTAATTTTTATATTTAATAATTTTAATTTTTATGATTTGCTATATTTAATTACAATTTCTTTTATCCTAATAGTTATAGCATTATTGTTTTATTCCATTTTAAATCGATAATGTTGCATGTGAATGATAACAGTAATTTATATAATGTAATCTTCGAATTAATTCAAACATATATTGGAGATACTTTCTTTTCTATACTTCGTGTTATAAATTTATTGTGTTATGGATTTTTTTATAAAATTTTTTTAAACAAAATCAATTACTGATAAAGTAGAAAATTAATAATTTATTAATCTATATTCGGCAATTAATCAATCGACAATAGTATTTTATAAAAAAACAAATGCTATAAAATATATAAAAAAAATTAATTTTCAAATCTATCTATATATATGAGGAAAAAGATCTTCATTAATTTTAAAAGTAAACTTTAAAAATTATATATATTTTTAATTACATTTTTCTTCTAAATATCTCATTAAATGTATTATTCATTTTTCAATGTTTACAATTAAAAAAATTTCCTACATTTTAATGAAAAGATTATATCATAGATATAATAGAAAAAAAATATGTCTCCAAGATACATATTATTAATCCTAATTAAATAGTCAGAAACATCGTTACCCTTCGTATACCAAGATTTATAACTGTGTAAGTGTTGAAGAAATATACATCCAAACATCATAAAGTATACGATCCGACGAACGACTCTCACCCGAGACAGTCGTGGTTTTACCTTGGTAGATCGCGCATGTGTTTCTCTCTGACCATATCGAAATTTTTTTGTGTAAGAAATAAAAAGTTTATAATTTATAATTATATATGTATAATTTTTCATATTTAATACATTTTTATTTTATTTTTTATGTTCACATAACAATTCATACATAATATTAAAAAATTTCTTCAGATAATAATAAAGCAATTCATTCAATATTTTTTCTATGACAATTATACTATTTCATTTCTTCATTCGACTTATTAATTATCGATTGTATTATCAAATAAGTTGATTAATCGATGCGTATTTAACTCGTATAGCTATTTTATAACGATAATATCTACGATAATAGCTACAACCGATGAATTTATTTTCTGAAACATAAATAACCAATTGATAATTTTCCAGATAAAAAAATGATTGTAAAAAAATTAACTTGTTATTTCGAATAAAATTTTCATCATTATTTATCTTTTTCTTTATGTGAATAGATAAATATTATGTTTTAACTTAATCTTAGATAATTTCTTCGCTCTGTTACGAAATGACACAATATCGAAGAGTTCTAATTTTTTGTTTATTGAGCTGTATATACTTTTTTGAGTATGTTACGACTGATGAACTAATAGTAAAAATAAAAAATGGTACTTTATCGGGTTTGACTTTGAAAACTAGAAAGGGCAGAGAATTTGCCGCTTTTCGGGGTATACCATACGCGCTTCCACCTCTTGAAAAGTTAAGATTTGAGGTAAGTTAAATAATAGTTAAAAGTTATATAATATAATAATATTATATTTCCAAAATCAAAAATTTTTACTAATTTTAATAATATAAAAAAACATATATATATATATATATTACATAATGTAATCTTCAAAATATATATATATACAAATTTTATATATAATATAAAAACAAAGATAAATTTTTTAATAAATAATCATCCGATTATTTAAAAATTATTACAAAATGTTTGTAATAATGTAGCAGAAAAGTTAAGGATAAATTTAAAAAGTTTTCTAGGCACATATAGTTTTGCATATATTACATTACATCGAATTATATAAAAGATTTCATAATATCATGATTTTTTCCTTGTCATTCTGTAAAAATCATATAAAAAATATAAATTATTCATAATTTAAAAAAACAATTATAAAAATAATTAGAATTAGTATTTCAAGTTTATATTTCAAATTATTATAATAATTATTTCAAATAATTATAAGAAAATTCATACTTGCTTTTAAATTTTCATGATTAAGATCTTATAGAATTCTTAAAATTCGACTTTCATATATTAAATGCAAATTAATGCAGGTCAAATAAATTATTCCATTTTTTTTACTTAGAAATAGAAACCTGTTTTTATAAGTGATACAACTTTATATTAGATTATGAAACATCAGATGAATGTATCAAACAACTTCTGGTGAATATATTTCATACATTCCTAATAACTTCATTATTTTTCTACAGAGTAATAATTTTTGATGAAAATATTGATTATTTTAACTTATCATGTATTATATATTCATATATTATGATATATTGATAATTATATATTTATAATCATATCCATTTTTCATTCTTTCCATCACATAATCAGAAAAACTTAATAATTGAAAAATATATTAATTAGTAAACTTAAAACTTATGTTATTTATTTATAGCCACCAAAACCAGCAATAGCCTGGAATGATGTGCGATCAGCTAAAGAAGACGCCAATATATGTATACAAAGGAATATTTACATTTATCAAGAAGAGATCGTTGGTGACGAGGATTGCCTTTATTTGAATGTCTATACACCAAAATTACCTACTGAAAATGATAAATTAAAGGGACGATATCCAGTTATGATTTGGTTTCATGGCTGTGGATGGATTTGTGGTGCTGGTCATTCAGAATTTTATAATCCCAAATTTTTATTAGATCATGATTTAGTTCTCGTGACAGTAAATTACAGGTTAGAAATTTTCACATTTAATTAATTTAATTAAAATAAAAATAAGATAAAGAAAATTATTTACCATTATTTTTCATAGACTCGGACCTTTAGGATTTTTGAGTACAGAAGATACTGTATGTCCTGGAAATAATGGATTGAAAGATCAATCTTTGTCCATTCGTTGGGTACACGAAAACATTGCCGCTTTTGGTGGTGATCCAAATAGTGTGACCATCTTTGGAGAAAGCGCAGGTGGCGCTAGCGTGCATTATCATATGATAAGTAATTTGACAAAAGGTAAGTAATTTTTAACTGAATAAATTATGTAAATTTGAAATTTATAAAATTTATAAAAAGATAGATAGATTTTCGACACATGTAAATATTTTTTATCGAGATGTGAATTTTATGGATTCGGTCTTTTTAAAAATTAATATTATAAATAATTATTTCGTATATATAAAACTTAACAAATGCTATAGTAAAAATTACGATTATAATAATAAAATCATAAAATGTGCAGTTTAATTATTCAGAAAAAAAAATCATTAGAAAAAAGAAATTAAAACGATCGTTTTGATAAAACCGAACAGAATGTACAAAAGTTTAAAATTGGTTCTAGATCATTGTTATTAGAAACAGATAAAAATAATTGATGTTTGAAAGATACCATTATGTGGTAGTAATAAAATGCTTTTGACAAGTTTAAAATTATGCAATGAAAAATGTACAATAATTGAAAATGACTAAAGTTTTTTAACGTTTTTATGACATAATCTGTGTTATTTCTTGTATATTATAATTCTTTGAAATTGAACAAAGTTTCATAAAAAATTCCAATCAAGCATAAAACGATAAAAATATTCGCATATCATTCCCAGAAACGCTTTAAATTTAAAATTACTATATTGAGAGAAAACGTAATAAATGACACTCAAGGTTGAGAATGAAGAAATGATAGAAAAAAAATCCTAATTATGAATCTTAGAATAATCTCATAATCTATGAAATCTTATAATCATCGCTTGATTATGTAATACATTTCATAATTATGGTATACAAATTAAAATAGGATTTATCCATCGAGCGATCTCTCAAAGTGGTAATGGCCATTGTTTATGGACTTTAACTAGACCAGGTTTAGCAAAAAAAAAAGCCACCAAGGTTGCTGAACTTTTGGGTTGTCCTTCGAAAGATTCAAAACAGCTTGTCGATTGTCTGCGAAAGAAGAAAGCCACTGACATCATCGCGACCGATCGTGCTTTTCAAGTAAGTTCAATTATCCTCTTCCTCGTTACTTTTCATTACAAAATTTCAAATATAATAAGTAGATATATTATTCTTAATATTATCTTATATCAATATAGAATTATAGAAGATTAAAAATATTATATTTGAACCCGGTATTAATAAAAGCAAACTGTTAATGCATCTTTGAAAAATTATTAAAAATTAAAAATATTTAAAATGTTCAATTCATCCTTCCAAAAAAAATATTTCAGGTTGAAGTTTTTAATTAGATAAGAAGTAAATATATTAGAAGTATATATAAGAAGTAAAAAATCAAGTCACGAAAAAAGTCAAGAAAAAAACATAGAGAAATACCATTTATATATAATTATAGTTTATCTTTCATGACCAATCACCTTTCAATATTTGATTATATAATTATCATCTAATCATATAATAGATATATTATGATGCTCGTTTATCTGTATTTGTCACATTTTTCGATATGCAGCTCTATCAGTTATCTTATTCACTCGAAGTTGCAAATAATTGTTTATAAATAATTGTTTGATAATCGTTTTTAATAACACTTAATTTCCATTCATGATATGAACTGAATAATGAATAAATTTCCATTCATGATATGAATTGATAATATTGAAAGATATTTATGCTGTCTACTCTTCATTTCTTATTTAACTAGTAATTATATTTTATCTAAATGATAAATTTTTTAGAAATCAAGAAAAATTAATAAAATGTTAATCATTTTTTTCAATTTTTATTTTCAATATAATCTAATAGATATATATATATATATCTAAAAATCTAGATATAGATACTAATGAGTCTATATTGTATATATTGTTTATCTGTTACTTAACGCACACCTTTACTTTGATATTGAATAATCTATTCTATGATCATGTTTATAAATTAATTCTTATATAAGTATCTTGATAATTGGAACGAATAAAAATAATAATCATAAATAGTATGATTTCATAATATATAATAATATTATATAATATTAAATATCATATTTTTATTTTTTTTTTTTTATTTTGATGTGTTGTGCAGATATTTTCAGAGTCTTGAATGAATTTTCTAAAACAAATAAATTTAATAGCTTTAACTAAATTAGAGTCGACAGAATTATTGGTATTATTAATTAATAAAAGGTTTAGTTATAATAATATATATACTTGTATCTAACCACTTTAAATATCTTTACATTTTTTTATTTTTTTGTAAATTAAAAATAAAATTATATTATCATTAGTATTATTTGTGAAAATAAGTTAATATGACAATATCTCTGAAAAATAATTTTTTTTGATCAGATTTATCAGGAATTTTATATCAGAATAACATGTTATTTATACATAGTTAAGAGGTCCAACTTCTGGAAAAACCTGTTTCGCGCATTCGTGAATATATTATATCTATTCGTGCGTGAACTTCATGATTCCAACGAAAATCAATATTCTAACAAAATCTTATCGATTAAATGTGCGTCTTTATTCAAGGTATAAATGGAAAGTAAAGAATTTTTGCTATGGAAACAGTTTCAGAGCAAAGAAGTGTGTCATGTAACAGTTGGAAGAGAAAGTAGACAAATAAAACGATAAATCGACTACATTGTATCGAGGAATTTCTATCTTTACTTAGACACAAGTGTTAAATGTATTTTGGAATATATTTGAAAATTGATGAATGAATCGAATTCATAATTGAAACTTTGAAACCGAAAAAATATGATTTCTTTTTCCTAAGTATATAATTTTTTCATATATACCATGAAAAAACTTAACTTGAAACTAAATTAAATTTTTTGCTCTGTATGTATTAGATATTTGGTTATTGCCCAATGATACCCTTCAGACCGGTAATTGAACCTGTTCATCCTGGTGCTTTTTTAACTGAAGATCCAGCAATTTCTTCTAAACATGGCCGCATATTAGATATACCATGGATGACAGGAATTACATCCCAAGAAGGTTCCCTCGTAGCACCAGGTATCTAAAATTAAAAACACAATTAATTTCTCAATTACATGTTTAATCCTTACGTTTACGATTATTATTTGTCTTTTAATTCTATTATTACTAAGACTTATTACTAAGAATCATTACATTAATTATAAATCTATCTTTCTTGTTTTTTGTATAAATGTATCTTTCTTGTAGCATTATATGGAAGAAATAACGGAGCTTTGATTAAAAAATTGAACAAAGATTTCTTAAACATCGCTCCAATAACGTTATTATACGGGGATACATGCCCCAAAGATGAACAGAAACGGGTGACTTCCGAAATACGGAAATTCTATTTCGACGATGGCCCAATTGATAATTCAACGCGATTCAAAGTGATCGATGTGAGTATACATTCGTTAAAAAAAAATTAGAATTTTATATTTTTGCAATTTATATTGCTATTGCTCTCTTTTAATACATTCGTTACCGGGATCGTTGACACATGGAAGTAAGTATTTATATACATTTTTCCTTTGCGTGTCGAAGGACACTGATCGCGTTTTGATTTAAAATAAGATAGAAGAAATAGGCGGTAGACTATAGCTGTATTCAATTGCCGTAATTCAATTTCCATTTTACCAAAACTAATGCAATATTTATGAAAAATCATATCGTATAAATCTTATAGATGTACAGTGACGCCTGGTTCAATCATGCAGCTTACACTTCTGTGCGTAATTATCTCGCGAAACAATCTTCTCCCGTTTATTATTATTATCTCGCATACAAAGGAAGCGCGTCGTTCAGTATGATATTTGGCGATCCTCACAACGATTACGGTGTATCGCACGCGGATGAACTTCAATATTTGTTCCCTGTTGGTGAACAATTGTTCAAGAACACTTCATTGAGCAAGCAAGATCACAAAATGGTGGATATTATCACAAATCTTTGGTACAATTTCGCAAAATCCGGGTGAGTAAAGTTTCAATCAAATTTCCTGTTCATTCAAAATTGAGTTGAAATCACTGTGTTCGTTCACCAAAACGAACGATTCATTTTCAGCAATCCTACACCCGAAGTGTCGGAAGATATACCCATTAAATGGAAACCCGTGAGAACTCAGGCCCTAGAATATCTTCATATAGGACAAGATAACATTAGAATGTCGGAAAATCTTATCTCGGAGAGAATGAAATTTTGGGAAAGTTTACCGATACGATCGGATGATAGCGGATCAAAATATCAAGGAAAAGATGAATTATAAAAAAATGTTAAAAAAACTGCGTTATGATTGTCATGCGTGAAAATCACAAAATTTAATTCGCACGAAACAATGGATAAATGGTGTCTCCTCGATTATTACATGTTAACAAATGAACTTCAATTTAGAAGAAAAAAAAAAAAAAAAAAAGAAAATATACGGATGATATGATATGATTCGGATCCACGAAAAACGTGAAATATTCATATGAAATACTATTGATAATTCCATTCGAATATAAATTATGTATAAATTATATTATTTATATGTATAAATGTATATAATTTTACATTCATAATCGCATGATTGCATCATACAAGGTTAAAAAAAAAAAATATTATTCATTTTTTACTCTGTAATATTAATATATTTATAGTTGAAAGGATTATATTTCTATATCTTCACTGAAGCATTGTTTGCCAGCACATTCAATAGCGAAATGTAAATGATATCGATAAAAACATCAAGATAAAAAAAAAATTAATATTATGTATATTAGACATTTGAATAATATAAATATGCATACCTATATATATTTTTATTTTTAATACACCACATGTATTCTCTTTTTCTTTTTTTTTGGGAAGTCGATCTTTTCTTTTAAATCTATCTTAATTTTTTCTTCAGATATTGTTCTCGTTTCTAAGGCATGAACCGATAATTTTAATTTTGGTATTATTTTTAACATCATGTGAGCTATGGAATAATTTTCCGGATAACAACTTTCAAAAATTTCGTATTTAATATTCTGCAAGGATAAATTCTTATATGGTAATTCACCAATAATATCAAAATTCAATCTTTTAGCTGTAAACATCAAAGATATATGGATTATTTATAAATCGACGATACGGATATTATCAATTATCATCTTAAATATGATAAATCTTAATCGATAAATACGAAAGATAAAAAGAAATATATACCGATCGTTTGAGCAGCACTCGAAGTGAATTGACCGAAAACAATGGACGTAAAATTACTCACTCGAGTAATGCAAGAGCGAAGTAACGCGGTACCAATGCCACGCTTTTGATGATCAGGCTTTACACAAATGATATCAATGTGCACAGATTTATTTATATATATCGATTCTACGAATCGAGATTTGGTAAAAGCGAAGTTTTTCAAGTTCATCACGTGATACAGTGTCTCTCCTTGCTATAAATGAGAGATTATTAATTTTTTTTTTTTTTTTTTTTACGAATATATATTAAAAAATTTTAGCAAACAATCGTAAATTTCGGAAATAAAGTTATAAAAGTATTTTATTCGATGACGTGTCTATGAGATTTTTGATATTTGATATACGTACCCCTTTCTTAATTATCCAATTAAATTTTTTGAATACAGAAGCAATAAGCACACCGACGAGTTCGTTGGTTCCTTCCCTAATTGCACAGAAACCAATCATGCCTTCCATCTGTTTGAATACCATGTTCATGAACGTCTTCATAGACGTTGCATCGTCATACAATTTGATAGCTTTGAACAATGGTTCCGAATTAGAGTAGTAAGCCTGAAACATGTTTAATTTCAATATATTTGTCAATTTGAATCATCGTGAATAATACCTTTGAAATGCTCCCTCAAATGTTTTACAATAATTAAACATAATTATTTCTGTCTATGATAGAGAATAGAATTTAAATGATAAAACGATTGTATGGAAATTTATAGATATTCTAAAAATATCTAAAAAATATCTATCATCTTTTAAACTGTAATAAACTGTATTTCGGTCAGCGATGTACTAGTACAAAATGCAACGCCTGCATAAATTTGTGTAACTGAAGATCAATGATTCTGTAACCGTTCGACATTCTTTCCCACACTATAGGTGCATCTCCATTGATTAAATCATCCGATGGCCGTTTCTTCCTGATCGATGCAATACGAAGACTTAAAGCAAAAAAATCGCTATCCTTGATAGAACTCCTTTTGCGAATCCATTTCTTTCTGAACATGTTTCACAAAATTGTGTTAACACGTTTAATATTCTGTAATTTAAAAACGCCCCAATGATCCAATTTTAATGAATAATTTACGTGTAATTTTTAATATAACATTTTTTAAAATTTCCACTCGGATCTTACAACTTTGAAGTTGTTTTCCGATCAAAATCGATTAAGCTCGATTAAGAAATTTTCTGTACAGATATATTCAGAATTTACGTGAGATATTATAAAAATTTTTCCGTTATTATAAAAAATATCATGTTTTTAGCATTTTTAACGTAATTCGTAAATCATTTTTTTATGCCTAATCCTTAAAATGTTCGAGATGGATTTCACCGACGAAAAAGATGAATACACGTTAGAGGCGGAGGCACGACTCAAGGCTCCCCTCGAATGGGAATCAACGGCGAAATACAAAATAATAGACCTAAAGGAGTCACAGTACGACGAAGCTTTACGTCTGATCAAAGTTTAGCCACGAAATCGCGAAATAACGTCGTGCAAATATTTCGATTAACTTTTTCCAACACTTTTTTTTAACCGCTCAATTATCTTATATTCCACGTAATATTGTGGACTTTGTAAAACTGATCTAAATTTTCACAGCATCACTTTTTTCGCGAGGAACCTATGTGCAAAGCGTCCTCGTTGCTCGAGGATTCAACGTCCGTGAACGATTATCTGGAACTTATAAGAACGTGGATGAACGATACAACGAGCATAGTCGCCCTTAGTATTAAATCTGGTCGCGTTATCGGAGTTGCTGTTACGAGAGTCAACAGCAGGACCTTGAAAACGGATACTTATCAGCGTGTTCAGGTATTATTGAGATCGATATCGATATAATTATTTGTTAAACGCGTTACGTTGCTTCCAGAGTGAAAAAATAAATTTATTAGATATTAGGTAAATTCTGAATAAAAATTGTAGATTAACAAATATATATAGATTATAACGAGGTCACGTATGAGTTTTGTAGGTGTTAAAGGGAGAAACTCTACGCAAGATCATGCATTTGCAAAACACACTTATGCAGCAAACAAACGCACATGAAAAGTTCAAACATTCGAAATATTTCTGTATATACATTTTATGCGTGCATCCATCTTATCAAGAGAAAAGTGTCGAGATCGCGCTTTTGAACGCTTGCGTCCAGGTAGCATTGAGCTTAAAAATGCCAGCGATCGGTGGTATTTTCACTTGTGGTGTGAGCCAAACGAGGGCAAGAAGCGTGGGTTTTCACCTTCTCTCGGAAATTCGTTATAGTTTATGGCTTGTTAACGAACAAGTTGTATTCGATGATCCAGGAAGAGGAAATTATTCGGCTGCTGTCATGGGCAAGCTGATAAAATTAGAAGAGAATTTAAAATAGTACAAATTATCGTCCGTCGATACTGATATGAAATAAAAAAAAATTATTAAAAATAGGTCATTCATACGTAAAATTTTGAATAAGTCATCGATGAAAATTTATATTCCCCCCTTCTATTTTATTAACAATAACTATTTTTTTATGTTTTTATTTCAAAGAAAATATAGGCTCGTTATGTAACGATAAAGATGTATCGCTCGATACATTTTTCTCGCACAATTTTAACAATAGTCTCAACATTTTCGATTCGATATAAGATTTGTAACGATAAATTCACATTAAATTTTGTGAATGATGTTAAAATCTACGAACTATCTTTTCTATATTTTCAAAAGAGAGAAGATCTACAATACCGATACATGACATGTCCGTTTACATCGAACAACTATGAACGATGATTCCTAGATGGCGGTGACGGTAAACTCAAACATACTGCTATCATTTTCCGAGAATTTCCCGAGAGTCCTCTTTGGACACCCTTTCTTCATTTACCCCCACCCTTATGTTACTTTCGAATTCAGTACGAGGGATCGAGAGTTCACCCCACGTGAAGGGTGGCTTTGTGGAATGGAGTTTCACCCTATAGGATGGGGGAAACCATAATGCCGCCCAGGCAAAGCCGCGCCATTTTGTAAATCAAAGGACCAAAGGGACACGGTGAAAATTCTCAAATTTCCGGAACATTTTCACTATCGTTTTTTATCCTTTTAACGTTAAATTAATTTAAATTCGTTATAAAAATGAGCTAAAAGATTCAGCTGAATTAGCACTACATCGGAGAAAAAAATCAAAATTCTTTCATATTTTTAAGAAATTACATTATTTCGATATAATCTATCATTCTTAAAAAAATTCAAGTTTTATCTATAAAAACATTCTTATTTTATTTCCAAAAAATCTTCATAATTTTATTACAGAATGACTATGAAAACAGTTTAAAAATTATATTTATATTTAATTTTTGCAATTAAAACATATTATTTTATACTTTTTCATATACTCTCTGATATTTTAACGTTTTAATATTAATATATACATATTTTATATGTTTAATAATTAATTTTATAGATATATTAAAACTCTTATTGTTGTAAATGAAATAAGAATAATAAATTTGTAACTTTTTTAAAGAATATGCATTGTTATTAAAAGATTATTATTTTAATTTATTTTTAAGTTTTTTTAAAGAAGAAATGCAGATTTGTAAAGAGCTATAAATAACAAAGAAAAAAAATATTGTTTTCAGTGAAATCACGAAATAAACGATTTCGGTTTCTGACGAAATATTTATCTTCCTATTTTCAGACGCGCTTATCTAACTATTCTTCGCTATTATACGAATATTTTGTAGCAGATCGCTTATATAATTACGAAGCTTCGATTTACCATTATCATCCACTTTTACAGTGTTTTCTTATCATTAACATTACAATCTTGCTTTATCTGAAACAAAATTATAACTGAATCTATCGAACCAATTTTTCATGCTTCTTTTCTTCGTTCAGAATCTTTATAAAATAATAGAAATTTGTAATACAAAAATGCAAAAATACAAATATGTAATATAAATCTATTAAAAAGGAGTTAAAATATAAAGAAACACGATTAACAAATAATCAACCTATTCAAAACTATATTTAATATAGATACAATACACACGTCTGATATGTGTCTTTTTGTCTTCCTATAATTTAAAATCAATTAAATACAATTGTAATTAAATATAACATAATAATTTTATAGTTTTATCAAATATTTATAATAATCAAACAACTATAAATTGTATTATTCACACTTCTTCATCCCATCCAGTGGCGCCGTCTACAGTTCGCAACTTTGCGAATCGTGGTTTCGCTACCGCCATTTTCTTTAGCCATACTATTAATCTTTTTCAAAATTTTTTATATCTGAATCAAGCATAAATATCCTATAATTTTGTATTTCATGAATCATATTTTTTAATTTAAAATTATTTATTCGCATGAATTTGCAATTAAAATTTTTAATTCATTAAAAATTCATCATTTTTACAAATTTGTTACAATTTAAATTTAATTAGGCTAAAATATATGTTTGATATAGAGAAATTTTTAACGAAATATCGATAATATTTATTTTTTATATATATATAAAATAAAATTTTGCAAATATAAGTATTTCTCGAAGCTGTAAAAATAATCAAACGCTCGAGCTCAAAATATTTCAAAGATTTAACAAATAATAAAATATTAATATTATAATATTTTATTATCATATTTTATTACTTTTTAATAGTAAGAAATAAAGATCATAAGTTTTGAAACAAAGAAAGAAAAAAATGCACATTGGAATTTCTGCTTAAATAAATTTAAGATATATAAAATATTATTTATTCTCTAAATCTTATAATTATATATATATTTTACAATTTCATTGTATTCGTGAATAATTGCTAAATATTTTATTTGACTTATTAAAAAATTCCAAAGAGAATCTCACACTTCAATTCGAAGAAAGAATATGATTCCATCGACAATGAAGGTTAACTAAGGGCCCGTAGCCTTCAGTTATTAAGACTCATTTAAGTAACACTCTAAAACTTCTTCGTTGAAACTTTTTCCAATCACTCATAGACAACAGATTTGTGAAAATAAAACTGTTTGATATCGGATCTCGCGTAAAAATCTTACAAAATTGATACTTTATAAAAGTTTCGAAACGAAAACGAAAATTATATATATATATACGAATTTTAAAAATAAAAAATTAAAATATAATGTATATTATATAAATAATATAATTACCATAAGAAACAAATAAAATTAACGGCTAAATTTTTTTCTATATATTCTAAAATTTGTTTCGTTTCTGATTTGTCCTATTTTCATAAGATACCAATTTAAAGAAAAAATAAAAACGTTAAAAAAGGATGTTTTATGAAATAAACTTGTATCCCGATTTCCATATTTACGTTCATTTTAGATTTCACATCGCGTAATATTTTTTCTTCTTCTTTTCCTGGCTGAAAAATGTCAGCCTCTCTTCCATCAATAGGAAAGCAGTTCTTTCGCTTTTAAGTCTATCCCACAACGTCTACGTTTTCGTTCTTACTTCGAATCAGTCCTTCTTTAGCGCTTTGAAGAAGCAAACGCGTAAAAATTGGTCTGAACCTACAAAGGCAACTCGAGGCGTTGCCACTGGCAACCGATAAAATTGTAGAAGACCCTCTTGATCCCTTTTCGAAGAAACTTTGCTCGAATTTTTGCCGATCGTACGAATTATTCCTCGTCTTCGACGAGCTTATTAGAAGAAATCGTGAAATCAAAAATATAAATTTAACGTCAAACCTTCTTCTGCTGAATACATCTCGTAAATCGTTTTCAATCGTAAGGATCTAAAAGGTTTCGAATATACGGTGTATTTAAAAAATTAAATTTTGAATTTTTTTTTTTTACAGCGAACGTTCAATTTTGAAAATGATCGCAATAAAAAATGAAACTTTAAATTTCTTAGAGAGAAAATGAATTTATGGATAGTGGAAAATTATTGAAATTAAAATTTTATGTAAGATAATAATAGAAAAACAATTGGTTGGAATTGAATAGCCATGTAATCTCTTCTTTCAAAATTATCCTACGTTATAGCTTATAATTGATAACTTTATCCAAAATATAAATATAAATAAAATACGATAGGAATCATACGCGTAAACGTAGCAGTTTGCTGCAAAACGAGATAAAGAAGGTCACAAACTGCAATGGAAATAAAATCCATTGTTCGTGGCCGCTTTTGAGAGACATGAGCCACGATTTCCGGGAGCGAAAAGGAGGGGGGGCAACGACCCTTCGCATTGGGTCGAGAAAATATAAGCGAGGTCGATATTGAGAACACGAGGA